ATATGGAGCGACCAGTTAGTAGATATCCTTACGAATGAACTGATGAATAATTGCAGATGTTTTTGATGCAGCACTATCACTTTCTGATTAGTTGTTTGCGTCTCTTACTTTTCATTGGTTACTCGTATCCTTGCCCGTAATAAGTATTAGGGACAATCTCATCGTGTTCAAGTAATGTACACGGCGACTACCAAAAAAAAAATGGCTTTTCCCTAATGTGCGTTTCTGTTAGGAAATGGAGATGTAGGCAATTTACTGAGCGTATTAATTGATTTATGATAATCGGAAGTATCGAAAGCAAGTAAAATAAACAGAAGAAGCAACAAAGAAATCAGTGGTAGACTGTCACGTCTGCAACGGATTATAGAAGGCTACACTTGGTACATAAGCTCCTAGCCAGCAGACCATGAATTGTTTTTCAGGGATATCATCATTTTCCAATTCTCGAAGCCCAGAAAGTGGTCCGATTATGTAGATTTGGGTGATTCCATATTCGAGAATTGTAAGCTCGCATCCGGTCCAGCATCCCATCCAGCGCACGGTTCGTAACTCCTTTTATTCTGTGTTCACTAACTATGAGTGATTCTGCTAGCGTGGACGCAGATGGCATTATTATTTATTTTTCTTCTTTTCTTTGCTTATGTTTTGCATGTTGCTCTGGTGATTTATATGGGTTGATTTGATGGCTCCTTATTCATGCATGTCCCATTTTTAGTGTTTATTGGATTCTCAAAGGTGACGAGGGAACGGCTGTTGGACTTTTCGAGTCCCATTAAAATAGCGAGTCAATATATCCAAGGGCGAATGAGCATGCGGTCATTTTTGTTTTCTCTTCAAACGCAGGCAATTCATTTTTTTGAATAGTTTTTTCTTCTCTTTTTTTTTGTTCTGCGATTTGTTTGGAGTGAATAGCATACACCAGCTCGACCCGTTTTTTATTTCTTCTTCCATCTATTCATTTGAAAATCCTAGTGATGTTTCGGTTAAGTCCCTAGAATGATATTTATCGCTAACGCCCCATATTGTGGCTGATTTGAGACGGATCCAGGTCCTCTGCAGCGTCCCTTGCATACGTAAAAGGTTATAGTAAGTTATAGTTATTGTATGTATAAACGGATCAAATAGAAATAAAACTTACCGTAGTGTTCCAGTCAAGAGTCTAGGCGGATAGTGTTGTAAGTGGCAAGTGGACGCTCACCACGCGAGCGGTCCGGGTATCAAATCCTGGGTCGTGAGTCGCCCGGGCCAACCAAGCCTTTCCCTCCGGGGTCGGTTAATTGGTACCAGACTTGTCTGGGAGGATAAAAACACTGACTTGAACATCGGCTGGCCCCCGCAAGTCATTGTATAGGCCACATCGCATTCAAACGCCACTGCGAATGTACAAATGGAAGTAGAATGCGTGCCGCAATCCAGAAAGTGATAGTGCTGCATCAAAAACAAATATCTGCAATTATTCATCAGTTCATTCGTAAGGATATCTACTAACTGGTCGCTCCATATAGACACATTTTCAAGGTAATCACTTCTGCCTTTCACGTTACGCATTCGCCGCCGCCACCAGGACAATTATAGCGGGTTTTCCGGTAATTACCTATGAACGCCTATGTCAAACACGTTGCGCTAGTAAGGAAAGACTGACGACAATAGATGGACCGGATATGAGCCCCGTATTCTGCTCGATCACTCTTATTTCATCAATAGCCTGCACTGGAACCGGGTAACAATCGCGAGGCTTAGTACCTAGCCCGGCGCAAGACTGGTAAGGTGGCATGAATTAGTTCTGTAGGTCCCGGAATGAGCTAGCCGGAGTACGGACTGCGGCTCATGGGGAATGGAACCACAATACGTTACTTACATTTGCTTTCCGCTTACTATTGCCGTTACTCGCAATATGGGGGACCCTCAGTCCACCTTCAGTCCATCATGGATAGCAATGGTACTGATTTCATGACGTGGTATATTTGTCTCCGAATATGGTCGACTGGATATTGATGCGCTTCTTGAACTGTAGGAATAGCCATTAACATTACATTTCTGGTAAAAGGATTTTCCGATGAGGAAGCATGCATGGCGTAGCGTGCGCACGAAAGCAGAAAATAGTATATTTCTACCAGAAGGAAGAATAGGCTATCACAACCATTCTCGCGGGACAAATAATTTGTGCAAGGAAAGTTTTTGAAAGCTATTGTATTTAAAACAAAGTTTTGAGTGTGCCAATCTTAGGGCGCTACTGCTTTTCAAGAATCAGACCGCTCACTCCACAGCGGCTACTCAAAAGAGAACAGAACGAGGCGCTACCGCAAGATCCGGGAATATTGTGATGGCATTGCCTTAAAACCGCGTAAATATCTACCTTTTCCTCAAAACGGAATTCCCCAAAGTCTGCCCTCCAGTCGGCGTCAACCTAAGAATGCTCCCGCAGCTTGCTAGATCAAAACAGGCACTGAATTTTGAGTGGGCATTTTGAAAGCAATTTTTCACTTGCTAGGAAGTGCCAGGTCATGCGGAACAGGCGAATGCTGGTCATGGGGAGCTTTGTAAGTCTATTGAAAGACTTATTACAGGGACTGCTTGAAATCGCTCAAATTCGCGCAACCTCTTCATTTATCAACACAGTCCTCGTTCATCAAGTTTCAAACATACCAATTGGGTTGTCTCAAAAACTGTGGGAAGTTCGTGCGGCTTGCCCCATTATTAATAAGATTCAGATAAGACTTGGACACGTTGCTGCGTTACCTTTTAGCTTTTCAAAATCACCGAGCTACTACGTCCTATAGTTTCAATCAGAAGCCGTAGCACATGGCAAGCCACCGAAAATGTGGATGCAGTAGCGAGCAAAGGCACTGTCCACTAAATTTCACGGACTTCAAGATGATTCCAGCCCAGCGCTTTGCATCTAGAAATGACAATTTGAAGAAATAAATC